TCCAAGACTGCAAAACTCAGCAGAAATTTCATAGCCTATCAATTAAAGTACTTTCCAATCAGGGACATTGGGAAGTGCATTCCTTCTCCTCTTTACACAGTGAAATCCTGGCTGCCTGCATTACCTCAGCGTTGAGGTACTTCCACTTCCTCTCTTCAAAGAAGTCACTATTTCAAGTAACGCTGCAGCCACATTTAGGAGGATTCTTTGGGAATCACAGAGAGGAGTACTACAAATATTAAAATATATCAGTATTAGGCTGAAGTTAGAGATGTAACATCAACAGATTGGACTGCCTGTATAGTTCTTTTACCCTATCCATTTAACCTGTCTGATAACATTTTCAGGAACACCAAGTCCCCAGCTGTTTTCATTCATCATCTCCTCCTGTACTGGCATACTCAGGAGTCCTGCTGTGTAGAAAACACCTTCTGAGGAGCTGTTCCTTCTTCACCTCTCCATATGGCATGTGCAGAGTTTAAAAGTCACCGTGCCCTTGCTGCTCCATTTCACAAGTTTCCTAAGAGAAACTGCTGCATCATATGCGGCTGCCTGAGCAGGCAGACAAGGAGCAAACTGAGGATGCTGCGTTTCTTTGGTCTGTGTGAGCAAGGAGCCCAGCTGCATGGTGCCATGCACAGCATGCTGCTTGTGCACAGCTCTGTTGTACCTGGCCTTGGTTCCAAAGCAAAGATTTGTTTCACTGAAATGGCCACGTGCTGCTCTATAGCAATGTCACTAAGATGACTGCTCTGCAAGGTACTGTTCTAGATTAACAAGGGGGATTCACTAAAATCAGAACTGAGAACTACTGGGAATTAAGAGGGAAATGTATCTCTGACAGTAGTTAAGTTAGAAGCCATCTGGAGTTTACATATGCTGCCTGCAAAAGTTTACAGCGTTTCAGGGCACACCCAGGCTAGCTGTGCTCTAGGCACCTCACAACAATGGAGTGATGGGCAAGAATTATGGAAAAAGCAGTCAGGATTTGCCATTCTTGGAACTTGTATTAGCTAGAGAAAAGTATGCTCATATTCTGACTTAAGTACAGTCATTATTCTTAGCTGATACTATTGGTTTTCCCGCCTTAGCGTTCCCCCAAAGTAAGATAAAGGCTATAGCTATAGTTGGTACCATGTGAGGAACTCTGAGACTGAGCTGTGTTAGTGTTTTTTCTAAACGAGCAATGTCAATATAATAAGTCTTATTTTATTCAAAGCTCTTTTCATGACATCTGTAATATCAGTAATCCTACCATTCTGTGCAATAGAACAATTTTTCAAGTAATTAGTATTAGACTGACAAGTGGATTGAGAAATACTTTTAGGCTAGAATAAGATGCATTTCAGCCTGTTTCCATGAGCCTCTGTCCTTCTTCCAGAATTAATGTCTTTTATTATCATTTTTGACTAACTTCCTTATGTTCTTAACTTTGCAGTGTTTCAGCAAAAAGCCACTCAAATGCCCAGTGACTATGACAAGATGTACTGCGATGCCAGGAAGCACGGTACGGAATTCAATTTAGCTCTTTAACTTCTTTGGTGTTTTTTAGCAGAACTAGTGGAAAATTGCTGTGACTTGATTTTGACTGACTTAGCATCTACTTTCCTGCACGTGATTTATATCCTTAATGCTATCGCAGCATGAAGAGATCAGATTAAAGAAAGAAAAATAAAAGTTACAGTCCTTTGGGAAAGATTTGTAGAGCCAGAGTTACTTTATGCCTTTCTGTTTGCTTTCTCCATTGTGATTAAAACCAAGTAAAGGAAAGACTGGAGGGCTCAGCTGTGCTCACTTAATTCCAGCCATGGAAAGGCAGCAGTGAGTGGAGCCTAAGTTCTCTCCTGGGTGCCCCAAGATCTGTGTAAAATGAATTACTGGTGGCATTCCAGTTGTTATTTGAGTTGTAGCACATCAAAATGTTGCTACCAAATTCCTTTAATGGTACCCTAAAGTAACTAGCAATGTTACATACAAAATGAATGAACGCTGAGTGAATATTTTTCTTATCTGTGCTTCTAACAAGCAGATCAGGATTAAAGCATATAGAGCAGCATGCGATAGCCTCTTTTGTTCTGTGACAGGGAGACTAGAGTCTCCAGTGCTACTGGCATGAACACTAAACCACTGAGGAAAAGAACACTGTACCTTCTACATCTTATTGTCTGTGTGGTCTGATCTCTGAATGTTCGTTTCAGATGCAAGTCGTTAGGGTTATCATTCTGTCAAAATAGAAACAGTTAGCAGAGATGAAAAATAAAAAAATAGAGATTCCTGCCAAACATGCTAGTATGGCAAGTGATCAAAAGGAGAGAAAACAGTAGCTGTTTTCTTCATTTTCTGAGCACGGTTCTTTCTCACTTAAAGATATAAAAGTACATAACAGAGTAGAAAAACTGACCCAATTAATAATAATGGTTTAAATTCTTAATCTGACTGCATTCTCTGTGCAGTTTGAAACAGGTGCTTCACGGTCCCTTAGCAACATCCTCATACAGAGATAGATCCTAGCCATCTCCGTATCAATATCCTGGATATAGCCATGCTGTACACCTCCTTGGACTAAGCTGTGAATTTGATAGCATACATGTCCCTGACATTTCCCTTCTGTTGTGCACCTGCACTGTAATCCGTTGGAGGACTAGAGATTCTGACATCTTCTCGTCACTCAGCGTATCTGATAATTACAGTTGGGGAGAAAAAGAATCATGTAAAATTTCATGATGCCTTCTGACCAGATTTCAGCCCCAGCTTTTGAGAAACACAATGTTTGAAGTTGGGGAAGGAGTAGGGGGGGGAAGTATCGTGGAAATATTGTGTCTTAACATGTCAACAATTTCCTTTAAAATGTCTGTACTACAGCTTTAGCACTGGAGGGAAATTACTGTGTGAGCTGTCACTAATGGTGAATCTGTGAATACAGGCTATAGTAATGATTGAAATGTTTAAGAAAGATCTTGCTCTGCTGCCAAAGACTAATGGTAGATACTTCATTGATTCATTGTATTTCTCTGATTCAGAAAAAAAAAAAAAAAAAAAAGGAATGAGAGAAGGAGAGAGAAATAAAGGGGTGGGAAAAGCCACCCTAAGGATCGTGAGTTTAACTAATGTCAAATGGCAAAGTCACACTTACATGCCTTTCAAAAAAGTACTCAGATCATAAAGGAATTAAATGAGTTACTAATGTTTATCTCTACATTTTGTAACAGCATGCAGGAAACACACTGACATGGCAGCTGTGAAACACAACATCCCTGCTGAACGGGAAGATCTTATCCCTGTCCAGAAACAACTGAAAAAGGGGGCATTTCATGTGGACGAAGCCATTGACAGATGTAAACAGTGGCAGAATGAAAAACAGAGACTGCAGACCACTCCACAGGTATGAGTCTGAATATTTATGTTTCTTGATGGAATCTTGGTCAGAAGTTTGGAAAACAAACTCTTGTACTTTGGCTCCTATATACGAGATCAAAAATTAGAGCTGTGATTTATCTTGTCATGATTTATACACCCATCAGCTCCCAAGGAACTTGCTGCTTGTAGATACCTGTTTCCACTGGTGTTTATTGGAGATGCTTCCTGAATTTATTTTGGTTGAATTTAGGTGCTGCTGCATTTGGTTAAAATCCCAAGTTAAATATGTTGATCTCCTAAGATTTCATTTTACATTGTTAAGTGAGGCATAGGTACATGCATCTTTTATGAAACCACCATCTTTCTGTAGCTGAACAAAATAAATGTGCTTTTGAGCACTGTCAGCTAACAAAAATATGACTACTTCGAACATACATTGTTAATATATATTGACTGCATCAGGCTTTATGCCTGTCTGAAACTTCTACCTAGAAGTTCACAATTCTCAGAAAAGCTCTTCAGCTCCTTTATATTCAGTGAATGGAGTAAAATGAAGTGCACAAAAACAAGATTTACAAAAGCCCACACAGTGAGTCACTGAAAAAATTGCATCAGAGTTAGATGATAGGCTGAGGAGAAAGGCACAGTGAAGAAGTTTGTTAATTACTTCCAACAAGACAGCTGGAAGAAGAGGTTATGCCCTCATTTTATATGAGGTCATACATTAACAAAAATAGTTTATTGTTGCCTTTTGAATAAACCTAGTAGAAAGAGGAATACTAAGACTAGTCTGCTGCTCTATGGAGTGGGAGAGCTATCAGATACTGCTAATAAGGAGAGATTAAATGCCCTTTTATTTGTATTTACTGAAAAAAGTCAGATGAGTTTTTGTCATCTGAATGGAACACTTATTAGCAAAAGCATGAGGCCTTAGAACAGTTTAGGTGTACAGCCCCCAGACCATGCACCAGCAGCACTGTACGAGCTGTTCTCAGCACTGCTGGGGTGTCCGTCCCTGAATCTATCTGCAGCAAAGTGGCCAGATGGGAATAGTGGTGCTGCTCCCTCAGCTGGGAAGTTACACAGGGAAGAGGTGGACTCAAATATGTGCAAAAGACAACAGCATACAGCATAGGTCTTTGTTGTTGTTGTTAACATGAAGATGCTTGTATTTGAGGGAGGATTTATTTGACCTGATTTCACTGCTCAAGGAAAAGGGTTGCTTATACCCTTCATCGTATATATGAATTTTGTTTTGTGCCATAGAAGTCTTTCACTGTTAACCTGCAACATAACGAATTAGCTTCATGCTATCACTGCAGTTGAGTGCTCTTCCCTGGGATTTTGAGGAGGAAAAAAAAAAAAAAAATCGGTTGTCTTATGTTAAAAATTAAAGCTGAAGACTCTGTAATTTAACCACAGAATCAGCGTAACTTGCTGATGGAAAACAAACACCACAGGAATCAGGGCACTGTTCAGAATGCTGGAGTACAGCTTTATAGAGTTATTTATTATTTCTAAAGCAAACTTGTATTATTGATTCTTAATTCATGTTTTTTTTATTTAAAGGATAAAGTGTGCCACCTTAGGGCCACCAGTACAGGGAAGAGACTAGAAAGGGAAAATCCGAATGGTAAGTTACACTTTCTTTTGGCTTTCAAAACACCAAAGACTTGTAATGTTAATAAGTACACTGCTAAGGTTGGATGCAAAGCATTGGCTTCATAATGAGCGTAGTCTGCATCTTTTTACATCTAAGTTGGTGTAGTGTAGCCAGGACTTATGTGGGGTTGAGATTGCAACCCAAGAATGAGCTCAGTGAGAGTTAATGAGGGAGAAAATTTAGGAGGTCTTTGCAGCTCAGCTTTTCTGTTGTCATTATTTCCTACTGCTTTGTCAGATTAGATTAGATGATTCCTTTATGACAATTTACTTGATGACTTGGTATTTTATTTGTAAATCAGCTACCAGTTTGCACTTGCAAATTCTTGATGAGCTTTCTATTGCCACAATAGTTCAGATTTGTGATTCAATAATCAAAAGCTATACCATTAGTCATTTAAAATGCTTTTTACCTTTGTGATTCAATGCTCTCTGCAGCTGAATAAATCACCTGTACTTCCTGCAAATTATTTTGTTGTTATGAAAAGATTGTTTTGAGTGTTACTGGCTTTAGGCCTATGATTTCTCTAAACTTCAGTATAGACAAGTTCTTGGAGAAAAAACGTGGATTTTTTTGACACTGGATTTAGTAGTACAATCTTTGCATTCAAATTAATCACAAATGATATTTCTTTTTAGTACAAGAGAGGAAAAATAATCCACAGTACTGCTTTGATTTATTCTATTAGACAGTGTTATATCTACATAGACTCGATAGCTGAAATGCTGTAAATAAGTGAAATTTTTTACTGACCCTGTGGCAGAGTTGCAGTTCAGACTATTTTAGCTTGGTAGGGGTGCAGCAACCTGCAAACGAGTGGGCTGAGTCCTTTCAGCCTTCATATGGTGCTCAGAGCTAAAATCTATTCTCTGTAGACAAGGCAAATCTCACTGTGACATGAGATTGAATGTTGGAAAGCACTTGGCTGTAGGGTTTTCTTTTAAGGCCACATTAGTCTGGTCAGTATTGCTGTCCTCTCTCTAGCATTCAGCTAGTTAGTAAAACATACAGGCAGAAATGTAGTAGCAACACCGGAATTTAAAATTTACTGTAACAATGAGGCTTGTATTACCCAGTAACTCAGCTAATGATCACTATGTCCCCTTCTGATCTTAACCTCCTTGCCATCTGTTATGCTATTTTGTATTCTGTGATGAGAATAAAGCAGAAATACAATGGGAAGAATCATTATGTAGGCCCTGGTTCTGTCCAGCAGTACACTATCAGACATTTAAATCATTGAAAGTAAGAATTTTTTACCAGATGGAACTCCATCTACAGCTGGAGTATATTAATGATGAGTAAAGAAAGGTGTCAGAAAAAGCATTATCTAAATCCAGATATGAATTGCCTGAATCAAAGATAATTGCATTCTTTTCTCTTTAATAGTTCTAAGGAAAGCAGAACAGAGAACATTCACTTTTAAGACTTTTTGTACCATATGCCATTGAATAAGACAGTGCTATGGATGTTAGCAGTTTTCAGATTTGTTTAACAGACTGATTTTTACACCTCATATAGACTCTCCAGCTGTACCTTTAAAATCACGGGCTTTTGCTGCCATGTTTGAAATCAGGATTTGGATACCCATTTTCATAGGCTGTTCTTGAAGACTTGATTTGGAATTTAAACAGATCATATCAAGAACCTGTTAGAAGAGGAATTTGATTTTTGGGAAGGAAATATATGCTGTAGATAAGTGAGGAACATAATTTTTAGTTTCTTGATAAGTTTGATCTTCTTCCACTGTAATGAAAGTTATTAATGAGAACAGCAATAAGTTCAATCTTCCATTTAGCATTTGATGATATCTTGAAGTCCATGTCTCAGTTTGCAACAGTTTAATATAGGATCTAATAATGTGTACATTCAAAAAAAAAAAAAAGAATTTGAAACAAAAAGGAAGTTCTGTCACACTTCGAGTGCAGTTTCTACAAAAAAACTATTTTAAGGACAACTAAATAAGCACTAAGCATGTAGAATGTTCATTTGTGGAAAAGTACAGACACTAATTAATCTCATTACCATATACTACATATACTGTCTTGTCCATAGGCATTTAATATTTTTTTTTCCAATAAGGAATATAAGTCAGCCATCAGTTCTACAATAATAAAGCTTTATTAAAATTTAATGAAAATACATCCTTGATCTGGGGACCAAAGCTCCATTTTCAAATGTGAGCAGCCAAGAAAATTGGGGGAGGTATTTAGGATTTTCCTTGGCAGCTTTCCTGAAAGTGCTGTAGCGTTGAACTAGAAGTAGCCTGTTGCCTATGGGAAAATTCATCCCTAAATTAGGCTTATATCTGATTTGGAAAGCCAGCAGAGACATGAGGCTTCTACAGGCATTTGGCATCCCTGTTTTGTAGCACACACCCATTTTTCAAAAACCTACACAATGCTTACCTGCACTTTTTAGGCATTTGAACTACCTCTATGGGCATTGCTTAGCTGTTTCTGAAAACGAGATTTAAAAATCTGCCTTCTAGTTCAGTTACATTATGGCACCTTTCGTGCCACATCCCACAGATTTAGTCATCCAGCATCTAAAAATAAGTCCAAGACTGCAAAAACTACATAAGATTCTTTAAGAATTGCCTATAGTTAGATAAATATCTCTTCATAGCTGATCTCTGTGGTATCTGGAACTTGGTCTTGTGTTAGGGATACAGAGCTTGCACAGTATTACTGAATCTTACTATTGCATAAGAAGATTACTCATCCAAATATGGACTAACTGGTACTCTGTTCCCCATTTATCGCAACAAGAACTGAGTAGTAGGTGTCACTGCTGGGTAAGAAGCAGGACAAAGGCCACAGAAGATGAACTCAGATGGACTTCACTACATTATGCAAATATTAACCATTAAAAAAAAGCAGTCAGTAACTTACATAATAGTTTTAACTGAAGGTAGGTCTCAGGAAGCACATCAGATGCTTAGTCCTCCGGTGACACCTACGGGGCAAACATGCAATTCAGTCTCCAGCTCCTTGTCAAGACTGACACAGAAGGTGGGCTGCTGAGGAAGGCAAAGGGCTTTTTTCACAGAAATTTCACAGGGAACTGGACTGAAAAATATTTAATAGTGAGTAGGTACTTAGACAGCTGGTCATTAATAGCATCTCTCTGTCACTGAAAATGGCATTCGTATCCAAGAAATAACAACTTCATCACCCATTACTATGCAGAGATCCTCTCCTCTAAGGCACTGCATAAAGCCAGTCATCACTCCAGTAAAAGCAACCTCCAGCAAAATTTCTTCTTCCAGGTTGTGATTTCCAGCTTTTTAGACACCTATTTCAGTAAAGTTTAATTAAGTTTGCTTAACCAGCTGCCAAAGACCAAATCTCTTCCCCAGCTTTATCCAAAAGGCACACAGAAGAGCACTACTCAACTTTCACAAACTGTCAGCTCATTGATTAAGTTTGCTATCCCCAACACTTGGCTTTGATCCACAGCCCTCATCAGCACCTTGCTTTCTGTCCAAGTTGCTAGCAGACTGCTTAATCAACAGTTGACTCCACTCCAGCGTGCAGGTGGTGTCTAAGCAAACATTTCCTGAACCAGCACCTCAGTTGGAGCCTGTTAACCAATAGGAAGACAAACAAAGCCTCGCATTTTGACATGTGGATCGCTGGGAACTCAGACTACCTTACCTAATCCTATTATCCCAGTTGAAATAACTCAGCACTTTTTCAAGAATCTATAAACACTTGTACATGTCACTAGAGGGTGTGGAAGTCATTACAAAGAAAACAAGTTTTGTAGTTTTTTTTTCACTTAAACAGTACACATTGCAATCAGGACTGCCAGTATTGCAAACGTATTCGTTGAAAATTTACAATGGTATCTGTTGGATTTGTGAAGTTACAGCTTTAGCCTGGTTTATTTCCAGCTTAAGTATTTTGTAGCTTTACTTAATGCTTACAGCATTAAATATGTAAGCATATACATAAGTAATAACAACATGGCAAACATAAATAACAAAAATCAGTTTCCTGCCCATCTGTCACCAAATCAGGCCTTTGTGAGTCAAGCCCACAGTTAAACTATTGACTAAAGAATTCAGAGAGACAAGTGACTTTTCTGTGTACCCTCACAAATGCACTCCTTTAACGACCCAAAGAGGCTATCCTTGCTGTTAAAAGCACAAAAGTACAAAACCCACCTCATGTCATTCTCCCACACAACACTCACCTATTTTTGTGATGCTCTATTACTCCTCTGCTCCCAGGGACACGTGCTTATATTTGAAGGAAAACACACAAAAGTGACTCATGTACATATTTTGTGAAATATTAACTTTGAAAGACATTCTGTACTGGCCTAATTTATCTCTGATATATACACGACTAGTCATTAATTGCATCTATTTCTTTTTAGCGTCCAATTAGGACTCCAGCAGAGAAGGAAGAGATACTTAATTAACAGAGGTAAGAGCATGTATACAAAAAAATACACACGACATTATTTGTCATGGAAACTAATGCTTGTGGAAGTACTTTTCATCAGAGTTCATTCACATAACAATAGAACGGAAGAACATCTCGATCAGAGGTCTGATTTCACACACAAAAAAAGAGAACATAACCATCAGACATCCTGGTTTATATTAGAAATTATTCTGTTGGGCTTCAACCTGTTCTTCTGACAGTAGGGCAAACATGCAAGCAGTTAGTCCACTAAAAGGTTAAAAGCTATGTTAGAGTGTAGCCCTACTTGCAGAATGTACACACATGTCAAACATATATCCAATATTTAAATTAAGTTGTATAGGTGGAAAAACATATAGAGTCGTACAGAAATGCTAATTAATCTGAACACTAAAGGTCATTTTAGTGCTAAAAAACTTCCCTGTGGCAAGACATTCTCCCTGAACAGCAGGATTTCCTGATGTTTCTGTCACTGATTTTGGCTGTCTTACTTTTTGGCATCCAATAAGATCTGGAATAGTTTGTTTTGTTGTTATCTTCTACCTGTGTCTTTCTATGTATAATCACATAGTAGTTTAAAACTATATGTATACCTTTCAATGAAAATTGATCATTAGGCTTGCTGCTAAGAAATAAGCATAAATAAATGTTTTAGAGTAGTCATCATTTTTGCTTGTTTACTTGTATATTTTAATCAGTTCTGTTTTCAGACTCTGTTCTGAGAGCAGGGTTACCAGGAACTGAACTCAGCTCAGCAGCTGAGGCTGTAGGCAGACTTTATGAATTATCTTGTATTTATTTTGAGCGTGGGACATAGTGAAATAATCACCTGGTAAATTTACTTTGATAATCCCTTATTTACTGACAATGATGAATGGATGTTGTTATAAGTTTAAGGCCAAGAACAAGAATACCTGCATCTTTTTAGCATGTCTACAAGTCTTGTTCTCAAAATCTTTACAAATTTACGGTACCTCAATTTTCACAGGCACTGGATGTCCTTTGTTTGTTGGTCTCTACAACAACAGTCTGGGCAGAGCAGCTCCAAAAGTTCTATTTTCTTCTTCAGCTTCCTTGCTTTCTTTCAGATAAGTTTAGAAGTCGGTAGGGATACTGAAAATTTCAAAATTAAAGTTTCAGTTATGAACAGCATTTTGCATTATGACTTATAAAAGGGACCAAACGTGATTTGTTCACAATAACAAAATGATACAACTTACCTCAGAGGACAAATGTAACTTAGGTTTTGAATCAAATTAACTAATTATTTGCTTTTCCAACTTTTCCATGTCTGGAGAATGATATGTTTTATCGATTGTGGCGTTTGGAGATTTTTTGGTGGCACTGAAAATGGATGCCCTTCAGTGAGGTCTTTCCTGCTCCTCTTTTCCACATATAAAGGAGAGGGCAGTTTCTCCCAGTGAGAACTGTATTCCTCTCTCTCATTACTGGAGTACAGTGCCCACCATAAAACAGGTACTCCCTTTCCTGCTGCTTATCCTCTAACAGTATTTGTTCAAGCTTCTCCATAATTCTCATAAAACTAAAAATACCAGTCCTCTGACATGACCTGAAAATGAAAGAAATTGTCACTGCCTCTTCAAGAGGCAGCTCAACTCCAAACATGGTTTTTCGCATGGCTGTTCCTTTGAGTAGGGCTGAGGTCACCTACACCAAATGGCTAAAAAAAAGTTCTGAAGCTGGAGAAAATTGTCACAGTTAACAACTTGGTAATTGCAGAGGTGCTTGTAAACTGCAGACTGCTGATGTGAGATGAATTGTTCATGGACACAGGTGGAATTACCCTTAAATTAGAATAGGTGGTCTCTGTCAATTTTAGAAGGTGAACTGCGTGTGGGAAAACCTGGAAAATACAGTTTATCTTGCACATTCTGTACACTGTTCTTGTGAATTCTCCAAGTTCAGAGAATCTCTGCTTCTACAAATAGGCCTCTGTAGCTTTCTACTGTTTTCTGTCTTCAGACTGGTAAGGGACATGATAGTACAACAGCACTGAAGATGCTGCTAGTTGAAATGCAAAACATTTACATAGAGGCTCACACACCATAGCTGTAAAGAAGCAGAATAGCCCTGGTACATTGGGTTTGAAGATTTTTCCTTCCTCCTTTACCTTACTCACAGAAGGATCGCCTTAAGAGAAAAACAACAAGGTTTAAGAGGGAGTATTCATTTACCTGCATAGACCAGAAAACTCGTGTGTTTATGGTGAAGTTCAGAAGTCCTCTGAGAAACGATGTTTGACGTTTATAGTATCTGTGTCCTCCCTCAAAGTAATGAGAACAGTGTGTACAGTGCCTAGGAGGACTGGACCATTCCTGAAAGAAATAAATCAGTTAAAGTTAAAATCTGGGGAAAAAAAGAGTTGTCTGTTAGCAGTCCAGTACCAATTCCTACTGATGTATTTTCTTACAAGAAGTTGTGGAGGAATCTGAATGTTTAATTATTGCAAACCGTCAACTACTGCATTTCCATTGCTAATATCCCAATTTTCCAAACTAACAACAATGCAGAAGCTCTTAGTTATTCAACCACTCAGACCATCATACCTTTTGATCCAGCAGGTGGACTGCGTGGTTGAGTTTCTCACGCTCATTTCAACCATTACTATGTTTGATCTTATTCAAAAAGAAAAAAAGAAAGAAGTCCATTCAGTCATGAACGTTATTCATTATTTCTTACAGGGCAACTCTTCAGCCAGCTGGGCATCACTTTCCCCAGTCTGGCACCCTGTGTGGCTGCACCTCGAGAGGCTCTGGTGCTGGCACAGAGCACAGCAATGCAGTCTCTCTGCACCACCAGCATTGTGGGATCACTCACGTGGGCCAGCTCTGGAAGAAGTCCACTATCACTTAAAGCAAATGAGTACGATTTCTTATGAAGTCAGCACTGAATTTCAGTCTTTCTTTGCCAACATTTTTGTCCAAATGACAGCTGAAGATATATATATATAAAAGAGATATTGCATGCTTTGATTGCTTTCAAACTGCTCAATTTTTCCATAATGGTTGACATTGTTAAGTAGATTTTATGCATAAAAGAGGAAGAAAATGAAAAGTTAGAGATTACAATTATTTAGAGATCATATTCAAAATTTAGTTTTTACTTTCTATTAGAACGTTTATGTATAAACTTTATGGAAACTTTATTTCCATAGGAATAAAAATTGTACTTTGTGAGTTTTAACACATATAGACAAAATGAAACTAATTTTCTAAAGTAAAACTGTACAAATTTAAAATGTAAATTAGTACTAATTATGTACTACTGCATTAAAGTAATTAAAATAATTGTATTTAAAGGAAAATATTTTGTCTCATAAATTGTTTAAGATCAAGCCATACCCAGAATAAACCAAAAAGAACTCTCATGGCACTTACAGAGCACAAGTGAAGACACAAAGTAGAGTTCATGGGTAGAATAGTCTGCATTTATGCAGTGAAATACTCCATTATTTAAGGGAGCGTGTGATGATACCAGAGCATGTAAGAAGGTTTGCTGATACACACAAGAGAAGAAAACGAACACATCCAACTTGTAGAGGGTATAAAAGAATATTTGATCTTTTAAGTAGTATCTCACAGAGACTTCTCCAACCCTTATGTCTGAACTTTTTGGAAACAGTATTAAAAAGCAGCCGAACATACGACTGTCTCAGAAAGCCTCACAGAGATCATAATCTTTACCCTCCTCTCAGTTGCTTGTTATTCACTGACATCTTCAGAAACCCAAGATTTTCAAAGCAAGCTCCCCATAAGGCATACTATAAGAGACTCAGAGTTTTGTTAGGAAAAACTTTATAATCAGAAACCTTCAACTTATGCACAACTCCTGATCCCTGGCTACATGTCAAAGTGACCAATATTTGGAAGGTGGGGGGGGGGGGTGAGTGGTGGTGGTGGAGGATTTGATGTTCAGACTTACGAGCCTTGAGGGTCATATTTCCTCCATTTCAATCACTAACTTACTGTGCCAAGAACCATTACAAATAAAAGCAAGCCAAAAAGACATTATTGGGATTTTATAATAATGAGAGAATCTTGCGGAGGAGCATTAGTGTCCACATATGGTTTTAGGCTAATTAAAATTCTATTTTAAATGGACTGATTAAACATTTTCAGGAAATTATCTGTTCTCTGGGGAAACCTCCCATTTCTGTGAGGAGCACTCCCACCAACACTGCAGATGTATTGCTATGAAGTTATAAATATTCAGTGACTGCTGTACCAACACAGCAGCACAGCTTTGTATTCTGTATGAAGACTTCTCTTGAGCTGCTTGAGCAACAGCAAAAGCCTTGAATTGTAAAATGCCTTCCAGATCTGGAATTACAGCCAGTGCTTATGACCTGAGGAACCTGGCCATGTGGACATGGAGCAGGATATATTACTTGAAAAACTTAAATGCATATAATCTGCTTTTTTGTTTTCCCCTCTCAAGCAATATCTCTTAAAAAAAAAAAAAAAAAAAAAGTGTTCATATTCTTATAAACCTGGCTAGTCAGCGTACCCTCCAGCAATGATTTCCAAAGAGGCCAAACATAAATTGAAGAAAAGAATACAAACCATGAAACATGTTGGTGTCTGGTCTTTACTTCTGATGCTTGTTGTTTGCTTCCATAGCAAAGGAGATGAAGGGACAGTTCTGAGGTCAGTTCTCTTGGTCCTCCAGGCAGGATCCACTCTGTACTACCACATGAGAGGCAACAGCTTCTTTGCCCCAGTAAGAGGGCACCTGGGAATCATTGATATTTGGGGTCAGCGGTAAGAAACTAAAAAACTTTATAAAGTTACATCAAGAAAACTTTAGAGGTTTCCTGGCAGACAAACTGGGAGTTATCAAAACCCCAAAGTTGTAATTCCCCATCAGGGAAAGCAAACAAAGTGCGCTCTGTCTTTTGTACATAGAAAAATTGGGATATATGATGTGTGGTACATGATATTCCACAACTTTCCACCCAGGGTGATTTAGGATTACCCATAACAAAGCACCTCATTCTCTGCTTTTGCTGCTTCATAGAAGTTTAGATCTGAGTGTACCAAGTACAGCAGTGCCAGTGTTACAGGCACTTCCTGTTCCAAGCCCAGCAGCTGGAAACACAACCAGGGAATTCCTTGTTCCTATAAGTTTAAGCACAGAAGAAGCTATTGTTACTTGGTAATAACAAACAAGTTTTTAGAATTTTAAAGGCCAAAGTCAACCCTCAAGAAGCACACTAAAGCCTCAATACCATAGATGAAATATAAAAAGCAAAAAAGCTCCAGTAATCCTTCAACAGGAAGGGAAGAAGGCACAGGCACCTCATATTTTTCATCAGTGAAGCATTTGTTTGTAGGGAATTTTCACAAGTGAGCCCCAGCTCCCATAGACGCTGACAAATGGCAGGCGAGCCCTCCCAGCCAGCACAAACACTTCTGTTTTTTAATCTCCCCATAATTTCCTAAGGCAACGTCATTTTCAGGCAACAAGTGCAGGGAGCATCTGACGGACACAATGTCTCACTGTTGCACAATAGAAATATAATAACAGTAATATTTAAAAGAGCTAAAGCTGTCACTGAGAGGACTTTAATCTTGAGCCCTATGTGCAAAAAGCAATAGCATTTCCAACTGCTGCAGCTCGGACTGCTCCCTGTGCCTCTGTCACAGAAGTACAGCTATGCCTCAGAATGCAGGTAGGTAACAAAAGGTCCAAAAAAAAGAAAAACACAAAAGGGAAGATATACAGTTTACTTCATTTTAGGGAAGAAATATTTGCAAGGCCAAAGACTTGCCTTTATCACTGATCCTCAGCTGAGGGAGGATTTGACAGCAACAGCTCAATGCCTCCTCTGATAGCTGGCCTTTTAAAGGAGAACAAAAAACCTTTCAATAACTTACATTCTATATCTCAATTATACTGTTGCTGTACTACGAAATCTTTCTTGCCAAGGCTCATCACCTTCTAACAGAGAGGAAGTTCTGAAGTTCTGATAACCTAATGTGCGTTACTAACAGGAAACACCAATGAGTCTCATTTTAGCAGTGCATGAACAGTGAACTAAATCACAGGAACCTAAAAGCCCAGCTGACATGATATTCTGTTGCAGGTGCTCTGCAACATTATCTTCATTGTAAGCTAAAAGATTCACTAATTGAGCAATCAGCAACATAAGACCACTCTACCCTTCCAGCTGTCAGTGTATAATCCATAAGCTCAACCAGTAATCTGTTCAACTGAAGTATTTTAAGCATGATAACATGCAAAAGAAATAAAACAATACATGCAGGTTCTCAGTGACCACTGACCTCACAGGGACATGGACGGCTCTGCTGGGATGCACCTTGCTGCAAGAGATGTTGCACTAAACCATCACTGCTCCTTTGCCACTGCCTGGGAGGTAACCTATGGCTCAGGCACAGTGTGCCGTCCACAAGGGTGCAGCGTGCCCTTGCTGGATGCTCACCCTACAAGCAGTGCAGCAACAATAGTGGGAAATAGCAGAACAAGAATGAAACTGATGTCCTGCTTTTATTTTATCAAAGAACTTATAACGCTTGCAGGAATTTATGAATCTCCTGCATCATATTTCAGCCTTGGTTGGAGATCTCTACCACGAGAAGAGCAGGAGCAAATTATGAGAGCTGCCCTGACAGCTCTGGAGGGGCTGTTAATGCAGGAGCACCGAGCCACGCGTCCCCTTGGTGTGCCTAGCCAACATTCAGCCCGACCAACTTCAGCCTTCCCACAGCACTACTCAGAGGTCAGTCTCTCCAGAAGCAGCCTCACAATGAGCCATCCCCAGTGAGGTTTTAGGATGTATTCTGCTTCACTTCAACGTTGATACATTAGGATCAAAACGTAGAGCTACATGAAGAGAGAAGGAAGAGTTCAGTGTAAACAGAAAATAGTCCTGTGAAGTGATGGCCACCTGGTCTTCCTAGTACCAGAAAGCAGACAACAGCTTAATCCAACATGACCACCAGTGCTCAACATCTGTTAGAAAAGCTTGGATGAGCCACTTATTACAGACAGCACAGCCCAGGAATGGAGCTCTCAGATCTCAGCGCTCCCCTTCGCAGCACCCTGCACACAGACAGCAGAGGTTCCATGTAGGCAACAAACCACAGGAAGAGAGCACCTGGCACAGACACCTCTGTTTGGTACAGTCAGCAGTGCCAAGCAGAATCCCAAAGTGAAAAATACACTGCAGTTAGCTGCAGTTGTTTGCAGACAAGTGGAACAAGATGTGCTCGTACGGGATATCTAAGCCACATCACTGAACAAATAAAATCAGCTGAGGAGAACCTCTACCAGCAAGAATTAAGCTTACCACTGCCACCTATGCAGAGCATGCATCTATCTGCTGAAAGAATGGGAAGGAAGAATCACCAGAGCATAATCCATCTCTTGTGGGAAAAGTGACTGAAGATCTTCTCTTTTTCAGCATGAGATGGAAGAGCAGAGCAAAAGAAAGGAAAGAGAAGGCAGCATTCCATTCTGATCATTTCACTGCCACATCATTCCTTATTTTCTCCCATGCACCTAAAGTGGAAATTTACAAGACATGAACACATTGTGAGAGGAGTCTTGGAGGAAAGATGCCCCAAAAAACACTCAGCAGGACTATCTATCCTCAGGTACCTTCTGTTTGGTGTGTCCTGCTGAGTGAGGGTGAGAAACAAGCTCCCTTCCTGTCACACAGTATGTGTTACCTCAATTTTTTATTTATATATATGTAATTGTATATATATATATAAAATTTGTAGCAGAAGTTGCATTAACAACATCCTGCATTCAGACTGTTGATCTGAATTCAGTCCCATTTCTTTTGCCCATTTTACATATGGATGTCACGTCTGCGTCTCATCACATGCCTTGCAAGAATACATGCTATAAACAAAACTGCACACCAGAGGTATGAAGTAAAAACAGACATAGCATTTACAGAATTAAGGTGAGAGCAGGATTCTAACAACAGGAGCTCTCTAGAGCTCAAGCTGATCTCCCTGTATAGCCTCAGAGAAAGCTGCACTTCTGCCATCCCCACCCCACCAGGCAACAGCTCCATCAAAACAGCAAGTAACACTTCCTGCAGCTGGTGCTGCACAACCCAACTGCTTGGCCTTGCCAAGAGAGCCAAGGGGCAGCGGCATGGTGTAAAGCAAGGTAAGTACACAGTTGGTGGATGCAAAACAGGCTTCCTTCCTCACTGAAACAAGATGGCTTAACCCCTGCATGGGACCCAAGACCTACATACCCCTTGTGCTGAAAAGTTCTCTTCACATTTCCTTTCCAAAGCAATGACTGGTGGCCAGTCTCCCTTCAGAATCACAGTTAATCAGATGAAGGATTTCTGATGTTTTAATGGTAGAGAAAACAGCTTCCCATCTGCAGCACTAAGGCTTTCAGGCTGGAGATGTGCTAAGTACCCAGGCCCAGTGGTCACTGTCACCCTGCTATCACTCATTTTGTAGAATGACTGATCTATCATTCACCTTTGAAGCTAGGATGTCTAACTCACACCAAGTAACACAAATTAACAGTTTTAATTGCACAAACTCATAATTTAAAGTGCTTATGGCACTACTGAGGAAAAGCAGCAACGTGACCTGCACAGCCCATCTGGCCCCCACCCAGCTGGAGCTGAGCAAATCCCCACTAAGTTACACACAGCTACAGCAGGCTCATTTCAGCAGCCCTCTTACACTTCAGCAAAATAGCAGTACAAAATGTAACTGCATTCCTGAAAAGTCACGTGGACTGAATTATGTCCAGGAGAGTGTGTGCCTTTGCTTTGGTACCAATGCAGATTGAGAGGAAGCTGCCATGTCCCTGGGAGAGCACAGCTCACTGCCTTGGTGCACAGCCCAGGTGCTACAAACAAGCTGGCCACCAGGAGCGCATGTTGGATATTTGGTTTGTTGTGTTTTGCATTGCCAATTTCCCCACCACGCACACAGCTGGCCGTAGGCATTTGATATATTATATTGTTTCCCAATTAGCATAAATTAAAATCAAACCTAATGAGAGTAGATTGTGCTACTTCAAGCTATCTTCTCAGCTATGGGAAAGAACGCAAACGCTCAGCCCCAGAGATCTGCACCATGGATGTCTCTCTCCTGCTCTGCCCTGATCCAGTGCTGCACATCTGTGCAAAGCACAGCTCAGCCACTCCCTCCTCCCATCTAAGCTCAGTACATGCCTGGAGGAAGAGAAGCCAATATCACACCCACGTGCTTCTCTTCCTGCCTGGCTGCCCTCTCAGCAGGTATGAAGGACACATCCATCTCCACAGTGAGGCAGCTAACACTGAGGCTGAGGGTTTTATTTTAATCTCTTCCCTTAACCTTTCTGTGTGCCCAGCCGCAACACAAAACCATCTCGGGGCGGAAAGCTCCCTTTTAATATAGGTACAGACCCCAGATACTGACTGCCAAGCTGAACAAAGTGACTGCATGCCTGTTGTGCCTCCCTGATCGATCTGTTCGCTGAATGCTTCTGGCTTCGGGATATTGGGGCACCCGAGTCATTCAGCAACTCTCACACTGCTGAGCACTCCTTACTCAGAAGGTGGTAAGGCACTGGAACAGGCTGCTCAGAGAGGTTGTGGATGCCACATCCCAGGAGGTGCTCAAGGCCAGGCTGGATGGAGCCCTGGGCAGCCTGCTGTATTGGGTGGCAAATGTGCCCACTGCAGAAAGGTTGGAACTGGATGATATCTGAGGTCCCTTCCAGCTCAAACCATTCTGCAATTCTATGAGTACCCAGCGGGAAGCTGAGCGAAATGTGCTGTGCCATGGGAGCTTAGGAAATCCAAACATGCTTTGGAAAGCATTAAGGCACTACCCCACCACAGAAACAAAGGCATGCCCAAAACAAAACCAACCTGAATTCCACTGGCTGGGGGAGTGAAAACTGCTCACTGCTCTTTGTGCTTGTGTACATCATTATAGGGAATGCATTACAATGGTGGGCGAGCCAGCTTCAAGCCTCCTCCTTCCACCCACAGCTCCTGCAGCATTTACCTCTGTTCCATCACTCATTCACGCTCCCTCAGCCACTCACCCACATACACTCCTTGCTGACAGCACAGCTGTACGCATGCATTCAGAACTACAGGAACTGCCTTTGTAATTCTGGTATTGAGAGAACAAGCAGCAGCAAGAGCAGGCTCTGAGGGGCTGTGTGGGACAGACCTCTGCAGGTGTACACCGCACGCTCATGCAGCGTGCACTCAGTCCAGCTAACTGATGCAAAACCTGACTGAAACTGAAACAGCCCTTGGGGGCTCTTTGCAAGAGCAAGTTCTGGCTAATTTTAGATCTGAGACGGCATCAGTAACCATCAAATATGGGAAGTGGGGTTTTCAAAGAAGCTGAAGGCAGCTGAAATCAGTGAGAATGAGCTGTTTTTCCATGTCCTCTTGAAGAGCTCAGCCCTGGCGGCT